CATGATTGTTTTCTCGCTGTAGGCATAAAAAGAGATACAGTGTGATCAGACATAGATACATCTAGGTATATCAAAGACTTGGGAAGAGTTCAACGATTCAAAAGGTGCTAGAAAGGAAGAATTCGTTTTTGATATCGCACGTTAATTCAAGCTAATAAAAAGCTTCTAGTGCTCTATTGAGTAAAAACTCGGCTTCAAATTGGCTCACGATGACGGGCATCATACCGGCTAAGGAACATAACGAATCTCCCTAGCACAATAAGTATATCTATTAAAGAGAGGCATAATGGTACTAGAAAGCATAATGAGTACGGATAATCGAATGCCAATATCCTCGTTTACTTAGGTATCTCTTTTCAAATATGCGTGCCTTTCAAAATAATAGATGACTGGCAAAACCTGGTGTCCTCGCTCCTCCAGAAGCTTCCCATTTTGCTACCTCGATATGATACTGTTATAATCATAGTATACAAATTATGTGAAAGATAAGTACAGAATATGATGCTTAATATTAATTATTGTCAATACAGGGCATCTCTTTTCTTGACGACTTTATATTGACTCTGCATAAAAGAAACTGTGGAAGCTTACCTAATTGATGTCGTTAGAAATAACGCGCCACGTGTGGCTTAGTTTGGAAACCTTGTTAGCGCCCCATTTTTGCTATCCCTGGTTGACTGATAGGCCGATATGCCGAACCATATCTTATCGAGACCATGCACCACTTAAATAGTGCACGGCCCTCTTCCCGAAGATTCGGGCCTTGGTCTTAGCTAACCTGGTGTGGTAACATCGTTGGAATTGGTTGGAGCATCAAATAAACCCCGCAACCCCCCTATTTGGACCTGTACACTAGCAGACTAGGCTTACCTGAAACTGCCTGTGTGGGTTAGCGGTGTTTAACAAAACGGAGGGGACGGCTCTAGATCCATCGATCATTGTCGCTTTCGTCATTCAGCCCCGATAAGTTAAGAGGGGATTTCTATTCAAGTCTCCTCCGATCCTATCTTTGTTAGATTACTCATGATTATTCAGCTAATTCAATCTCTTTACTTCTTCTAGCTACCGTAAGTATAACTCGTCTTGTCTTGTGAGTTGCTTGTTGCAATTCTGTTTCCGTCTTGCGTCTTGTAGGAGTTAGAATACTGTTATAATTTCCTGCGGACGATGACTGTTACCAGCCTGCTCGAAAAACTCCCCGACGAGATATTTCTACATATTCTTTCCTGTGAGTTTTGCCATCACAATTCTGCTTCGCTTCTAATAGATCCAATGGCTCGCTAACAAAGAATTCATCATTAGTTCTAGAATCGCGCGACGTTGTTGTTCTCCAAAGCGCTTCGAAATATTTCTTAGGATTATGTCGAGATGGTAACTTCTGGAGAGACAGAAGCTTATCTGCCTCGGCCGTGAGCGAACGAATTAGGCTATCCCGACTGGGCTCAGATTGGATCGACGAAGACGGCGCAACATTGAGCGGCGCGCCTACGACTGCGGGACAAGCGAACCAGATACAAGATGATCAAAACGAGGTGCATTGGAACCGACTCGAAAGTCTATGTCAGCTATCATCCAAGAAGCGGAAGCGAGAACAAGCTCGTATTGCCGCTAATTGGGATCCGACATTTCCTAATGAAAAGACGAATTGGTATAACGAATACATTCATCGATATGGACCTATTGCGGTTAGTTGGTTCGAACAGCCTCAAGTTAAGACCGGCTCTTTAAGGACCAATTTAGATGCTAGCGGAATCGCTCTATATAATCCACCAGGCGGAAACGAGCTCTTTGCAGTATCACCACTTGATGACGGCTCTGTTTGCCTGTGGGATGTAAAGGGTACTCGAAGTAGGAAGGGGTCAATCCTGTCCAAATCTAATCCCGGTCTCTTGTGCGCTGACGGTCCGGGCGCTGATCTATCAAGACGTTCGAAGATGATCAATACAGGGGTGACTGAATGCGTCAGCATTGACAGCGCAAATCATGTAGCCTTTTTCGCTATCCAGAGCAGTAAGTTTCTCCCCCTCGATGATAAGACGGCCGCTGACTTCCCTGTAGATCTTATTGAGGTCGACCTCAAGACGCTACAAGTCGTGGAGGATTACCCTTTCGAATGGTCGATTACTACGCTCTCTGCTGCCGATCCCCACGTCCCCCTGACAGTCGGTACGATCCACGGCCTACACTTTCACGATTCTAGAGCAAGATCGAAATATCGAAAGGAACACCATATACAATTAGATAATATTAGTAGAAAGAGCGGCCGGAAATTCTCCCACGTATTAGATCCTAGGCCGCTGGCCCCGTACGCTTCCCTTGCTCAGTCGGGTCCTCAGAGCATTCTTCACCTCGGACGCTCGGACAACAGCCAACTATCGGACGACATTTTCGTAGCAGGACGGTTCTCAAATATTTTACATTACGACAGGCGCATGTTTCCAGCAATCAAGGGATCAGTCCATTCAGGGGCGCGGCTCTGTAGTCTCACATCGCTTCCGTTCCCTTTCGCCACTCTATATAGCGATCTCCGCCAGCGCTTCCTACCTTCCGAGGAACCGATCGAGAAGGGTAGGAGCACGGCCAACGGGAGAACCTTGATAGCATGTGGCGAGTATAGTACCAAGGGATCACTCGAATTATACGGCCTGTCCTCCGGCGCGAACGACTCACCACGGGAGCCGGTCATCCAGAAGTCTTCCTTGAAGAACCGACAGACGGCTTCGCAGTCGAAGCTCCTCTCCGTCATAAATCACGGCACCAGAATCGTCTTCTCCGACGGACAAGGATACCTGAAGTGGGTCGAGAGGGACGGTTTTACCGAAGTGCGCCGTCACAAGATCGGTAAGTCCGAAAGGGTCGCCCAGCGCTCGCTTTTCGGGTCGATGCCCGGGTCGGACGACATCGCGAGAAAGATCCTATCCACGCGGACGCCCGGGCAAGACGGCGAAATCCAGGCCAACGACGAAGACATTCTCTTCTGGACCGGAGAGAGGTTGGGAATGCTCAGCTTCTCGTCCCAACCTGGATTCTCCCCGGAGGATTTCGAGGAAAACACCAGGACGCCGGAAGATATCGCAGCAGAGGAGGATGGGCAGATGTACGGCGAGAGAATGAGGCTAGCGCTGGAACGACAGGCTCGAGACGTCCGGTTCGTACAGAACCTCGGGGCTGGCAGCCTCCACAGCGGAACCTAAAATATTACATAGCATCTGATTTGCTCCGCTTCGATGGTACGCTCTATCGAGCAAGGGGATTTAACCACGTCACACAGATAAAGACGCGGGCTAGGCTAGCAGATTTAGATTGCCATAATCTCTGGCTCACTTGGCCAGAGGTTTGAGTCATGATCTCACTACCCACGTTGGACGAGAAGGGATCGGCAGTCTCGGAGAAGCGATGAAACACTGGAAATCGAGGCGGATTGCGTTATCTTATCACGATATTTTATAGATCATTGGCTAGGTCCCGGAGGCGAAAGGCATCCCCGTAAAATGCAAGTGGATCAAGACGGGGACGTTAGTGGATGTGATAGGGGAGATGGGGTCACCCGTTCTACCGTTCTACCGTTGTCGATGGCATCCCGTGACTTGGCTTTTCGTTTCTCTTCTATTTTCTGAATCCTGATCAACTTGGTTACCTATCCTTCTCTCACCGTCCTTTGTTTCGTCACCCGTCTCCTCCCTTCTCACATGGATCTCTTACTGCATAAATGTCTCTCGAATGATCCAAAATGGGAAACGTGTGTTGTTAGCCTCAACAAAAAATAATTAAGCATCAGAGCTATTGATTGACGCTTCGAGCCAACTGAAAAACGTGAGGCAACAAATCAGAGGACGGGTTCAAGTTGGCGGGCTTTGCTGTAACCAATGGAAATTAATCCAGATTAGCACAATGACAGGGGGGGGGTGTCCGATTCTGGTTTATGGTCCCACTCTTTTACTTACCCCTACCTTCCCCTACTGCCCACTACTGCTACTACTGCCACTACTGCCACTAACTGCCCACTACCAAGGACTTTTTTTAAATAATAATGCCAGCAATCCGTCGCATGAAGAACAGCCAATCATTTCTATTTTCGCCTCTCTATGTCTTAGAAGACTTGCGTCTTTCCCACTCCCGGCGTCGCTCAGCATTAGTACACATCGAATTGCCACCCGCACACTGCATTACGCCGCGTAGATTGCAGCGCATCTCAAGTTCTAGACTGGTAAAGTCCCTCTCTCTCGTACGTAGGACTTCTTGTATGAGGTATGTATGTATTTCAGTTTTATCCAAGTGGTTTCCCAAGGAGATGGGCACGTAATGCCGAGAACCACGGTTCGTTCTGCTTACTTGCTGCGTTGTCAAGTTCGGGTCGGTTTTTCCACACTGCCGTATCTGCGTATCTGCGTATCTGCGTATCCGCGTATCTGCTGTATTTGCTGTATTCGCTGTACAATACATACGAACAATACATCCGCATTGCTGAACCACTACTCAACCACCTCTCGTCCCGGTATTGGCGCACCAGACTTTCTAACCCGGCACCCGAGACCACGATGAGTAAAGAAAAGGTAAGGTTAAGCAAGTAGGATAGACGACCGGTTTTGACGCCACTACAACTACAACTACACTTACTGCCAATCCATCTCGAAGCTGGAAGCTGGTCTGGCACGTACTGTAAGCATTGAGCTCTCCTGCATATGGGGCTCTCTGTCTCTTTGTCTCTCTAGCTTCTCCCGGCTCTCCGTCGTAATTTTCCTTTCACCGCTACCTCCGTCCCCAAGGCTCCTCACGGGATCCATTCATGTACCAGCCAGCCATCGACGATCTGCCCTACTAGACCTTTTTTTTTCCTATCGAACAAAACTATCCCTTGCCTTTTCTCCACTATTACGTCCGGCTCTTAAACACTTGAGCTGTGGGGGTGGGCGAAATTTACAACAGGCGAGGACGGAAGGTCTGTAGCGTAGACAGGGCATAGAAGGTCGCAAAAGAGGGCAGCTTTTTTTCGGACACTCGAAGTTCGTCAGCCAAGATTCCAACCCGTCCAAGCAGGTGTCTGGTTGTCTGGTTGTCTGGTTGTCTGGTAGTAGGACGTTTCTTTAAGTAGTGGATTCTCTGGTTCTCTGGCGTTGCCTTGTCCGAGGGCTGTAACCTTTAAAACCTCCACATATTGCTGTCGTCCCGCCAGTTAACAGGCACAAACCCAGCCTGCCTTGGAGAGTGAGGCTAACAGCCAGCTTAGCCGGCTGCCGCTGTTGCGTGTGTCAACATACACCAATCCGACGCCGCATCTCCCCAAGAGGGATCCTGCACGACCATTGATTGTCGTGGCGTCCCTGCAGTCGACTTTGCTCAGCTCCCCCTCCCTCTGCAGCCTCTGCTGCCTCTGCTATATGGGTTCTGTTGCGAGAATTCCGAAAACAAACTCGGTGATGATTCGCAAGTCTTCCCTTTGACAGCAAAGTCCGAGTTACACATCGTCTACCATCTCACCCACGACCTCTGGGTGGTACCACGTCCGACTTCGTCTTTTTCTCAACACTGATCGAGGACTTTCTCAAGAAATGTCAAATGGCCAGCTGGTACGTCGGAGGGACGGAGATGTCGCGCTCCTCAAGCGACTCATCTCTCCCCGACGGCCCATATCGTCGACGTCGTCAGCACGTCGAGCACAAGAAGCGCCGTCCCAGCTACTCTGAACTTTCTAGCCTTCCGGATGACTTCGAAATGTTTCAACCGTTTAAGCGCCACCGGTTTGTCGACCACCCCGATACCTTCGAAACCTTCGAAACCATGGATTTTGGACAGACCCTGGCCCGTCCGGCTTTCTTCATCATTAAGGAGGGAAACTCCGGCCCCGGCTCGTCCGGCCTCGGACAGGTAATGGTTGAAAACTCCGTCGCGGCCCACCACCGCGCCGAATCTACGATGCGGCCTGGCTCCTTCCAGCATTACATGGTGCGGTCGGACTCGCCCGCCATGAGCCGTCCTACTCACGCCGATCAAGCCCACGATGAGGCGGCTAAGCTTGTCGCGGCTAACCTCGCGGATCCTCGCCGGAGGAGCAGGGTCTCCCAGCACGAGCGGATCCTGAGGAGCCTCATCTGTCCCAAGTCGCCCGAAGCCGAATTTGACATAGACGACGTCGCCCTGCAGGGCATCTTCTACGCGGCTAACGAAATCTTCTTCCACGGAAAGCTTAAGGGCCGTGTCGCATGGGCGTGGAGGGACTTACCCAGCTGCCTCATCGGCACCACCGCATTGAGGAGGTCGCCGCTCACCGATGGCTACGAGACACTCATTTTCCTGTCGCGACGCATCCTCAAGGACAAGAAGTACAACAGGCGTCTGCTCATCTCAACCTTCATCCATGAGCTCATCCACAGTTACCTATTCGTCTTTTGCGGGTTTCAATCTAAAGAGTGCGGCGGCCACACTAAAGGATTCCAACGCATCGCCAACCTCATCGACGAGTGGGCCGGCCCAGACCTCCTATATCTTCACAACATAGAAGCCAAGCTCAGCGACTTCGAGACAAAAGCCGCGGCTCTACCTAAGGACTCGGATTTCGACAGCTGGGGCGCACCGTGGGCGCACAACCTTACTACCGGAGACTACATCTTCCCGAGCCATCACCAATGCAGGTTGTGGCCTGCGGCTCTACGTTTACCGGACCGGGACCCCCCATGACGAGCCGTCAACGTCCCGGTCCTGCGGCTGCGTCTCGCGAGCCGAGAGGCAGCTTAATGTTACCCCGCATAGGGCTAGATCTTATCCAAAATCATCGTATCCTACCCTACCTTACCCTACCCTACTCAACCTTACATACATACATACCTCATACATACACACATACATACCTTGGGTACCTAACCTACATATATATTCACCCTTCACTACTTTCCTTTGTCGTATACAGGCATGGCGACGGCGTATCGTTATATCGTTATATCGTTATATACCCCTACCTAGATTCGGGACGGAACAACTATTATTACTACTACTACTGGGAAACTTGGGGGGTTTCGTTGGCACGTCGAGATGAATAATTCGTTCCTAGATCAGCATTAGCGCATGAGACCTTTTTTTGTTATGGGGGAAATGGCAAATGGTGTTTGGAAGTTTCAAATTTTTTTTCTATTTTCTATATTTTTTTTCTTCTACCTAGTACTACTTTACTGTTGTTGTTGGATGTTTATGCCCCCCCGCCGTCCCTTTTTTTTTTTTTTACGCGTCATGGCCTATTCTTGCATTGTTGGAGAGAAGAATATTCTTGTTGATAATTGTTGATCCTCGAATCTAGTACATATATATGTAGGTAGCTAACATGTATCCCAATCGATCCCCGTTATAGATACGATACGACGAGTGGAAATAAAGTCCGAGTGTCGAGAATCCTTTGGCCCTGTGAGTGAGTGAGTGAGCGTGATGTTCGGTATTCGGATTGCTGTGTGCTGTGTGCTGTGTGCTGTGTGCTATGATGTCCTGCTTCGTCTCCACTTGAGCAACTACCGATGCTCCCGTCTTGGTGCCCGATCGCTTGGGTCCAGCGCGTGTGTTTTTTTTTTGGCGGCTGGCGGGGCCGTTTCGAATCTTGAGGCTACGTTGCGAATGGGGTCATCCCAGTATCGATTGTTTGTATTCAACTGCAGGTGTTATATGAGGCATATTTCTTGTTGCCAACTCACGATGCCTTCGTCTCCCGAAATTGAGTTAGGTACCTGTGTAAATTAGGCGTACGCATCGTAATGTATGTAGATATGTATATAGGTAGATATGCATGTCAGAAGAATACTTGGGTACGCGGCTATCTCCGACGGTTTAACGGTGTGCATATGTATATTGGGCATGTAGGTGCAGTTGCATATGTGCATGATCTTTGTCCGCCCTCGGAATTGGACATCGAATCTTATGTATGCATCTGCCCGATGTTAGGCACGACTCATGCAGTGTGCCTCAGATGCGGGATGCTACATTTTTTTTTTCATTTAATATGTCGACAGCGGGTATAATCAATTGACTCATCTAACTTAGAGTATCGTGGCCTAAGGCCCCTCTTTCTAACGACTACCTAGATACCTATATTCATCTGAACCGTCATCTCGTCCTCTAGGCGCGAAGCACCTCGATAGCCTTCTCCAGGCTTTCGATCTCCGGTTCCAATTTCTCCCTGGCTTGGGTGCTGGTGGGACTTTCTTTTGCGATGCTTTCCACCTCTTCGCTAGTCATGGATAGTACTCGTTCGGGGGTGAACACCTGGAAAACGCTCTGTTCGCCATCCAGCAAAAAATGAGTGATGGCTTGCTGATGAATCCCATCCAAAAAACGTGCGCGAGCTATCTCGTAGTACGTCTTTATGACATCGTGTACGTCCCCGTGGATCTGCTCTATGGAGGGCAGTACTACTTTAGTGACATCTGCCTTAGCATCCATCTTCGCCGTAGCACGATTTCTTCCTGTAGAGAGTTCAGAAGCGTTCTTGTTCCCTTCTAGTACCATACGCTTCTGGCGCTCTTCTCGGTTGTTGGCCAGAAGGTCTTTGAAATTGGGGTTACTAGTAGTCACTTTACCCTTGCACTCGACGTGTAGGAGGAATTCGGCATGCTTGATCGCACGACGATAGCAGTCGAGGAGATCATCTGAGAGAAATTCTTGTAACGCTACTCGTACTCCGCCATCCATGAAGGCTACCCCCATAGCCGTGTCAATAAACTTGTGGATGATCAAAATGACATTTGAGAGGTGAGCTAGAGTAAGCTGAGTCCATTTTTCTGACTGTTCCCTGAACACTGTAGGTAGTAAAGAATTTCCAAACTATCAAGCTAATTAGCATGAGTCTCAAATACGATGTCGCAGGCTATCAAATCATAGTGGCGTGGGTCATAACTTACAGCATCGAGTTCATCACTGGGAGAAGGCGAGTATATCTCTCGAATGTGGTCGATAAGATCTCCCTTAGCTACGCGTGGGCAAGAAAACGGTTCGGAAAGTAATCTCCGTAGCTCAGGATATTCATTTTCAGCGGGGAGAAGAAAAGATATCTCGTAAAGATCATTTCGGTACGTCGTTAACCCTAGGAAATCATCCGTATCATCTTCGCCTTCAAATTTATAATGATGTCCTTTCATAAATAGCATCTCGGCAAATGCTTTACTAGTTTCCTGCAAGTGGGCGGTAAGGCGTAACCAGGGTTTTTGGGACAAGATTGGGTGTCCAGCGTTCTTCGTATCCAAGGCGTGCTTTACAATCTCTGAAAATCGGACAGCGGCGCGGACAAGGTACGTGCGTTGCTTGTCGGTGTTGACACGAGGCTCACCTACGAGCTCCAGTCTTTCTTTCTTCGTTGCGAGGGTAGCCGGCACTTCCTTCTCGACTTCGAATAAGTAACGATCTGTCCGACCTACGAGCAGTTCTTGAAGCCGAGATCGAATCGAGCTCATACCAACTCGGGTTTTATCCAGTTGGTCCCATGGTGACTTATTAAAGAATACGCACTCGTCGTGATCGCGTTGGGCAAGATCTGAGGTCGAATCGTATCCTATTTGGTTTCGGACGACGAAGTATTCTAAAGAGGGGTCTCCCTGATTGACCAGATCTACAATTGCCTTCTTGGATGTAGGCTCTGCGACGAGATCCGGCTTTGTAAGTATCGTAATAGTACGCTTCCCACTAGGATCAACCTCTTTCACTCTTTTCAAAATGCGCTGCTCTTTGACATCAGCCGTGCAGGGGACAACTGCAAGAATTCTAAACTGCATTAATACTTAGGTAGTTGAATATGATATGAAATTGCATTGCAAACCACTTACATTGTTTGAGGCATTCGAATATAATCTGCAACCATTGACTCAACTTCTGTGTCAACTGCTTCACCCACAACGACTATTTTCCATTAGTGTATTAGTTTAGCCTCGAACTGGGACACACACATTGCCTTCCAATATTAGGTAACCCTAGCTCACGGAGTTAGAAGAAAACCAAGAGATATAGTAGCTAAAAACGAACCAGGGATATCAATGATTGTCAGATGTTCTTCTCTGGGGCCGGTTATCTCAATTTGTAGGACATCTTTGACGAATTCTGATCTAGAACGAGGTAGATCGATTTCCCAATGAATGTCATAAGCCTATTAAATAGTGAACAACCAGGTAAGCCGTATGTCGGGTTTATTCACGGGACAAGAAAAATACCTTATCGAACAGGTCCTGCAGTTTCTTGCTATTCCGGTCTCCGGGCAAGAGTTCTACTTTTAAAGCTCGAATCTTGGCAGCTCTATACCCTCGAGATCCAGGAGCAGGTCGCATAGATACTAGAATTCTCTCCGTATTACTTCTCCGATACACGACCTCGATCGCATGGCTAGTACTGCCTTTGCTGGCTCGTATAAAGGGGAAGCCGATTAAATTCTCGATCGCATGGCTAGTACTGCCTTTGCTGGCTCGTATAAAGGGGAAGCCGGTTAAACTCTCGAGAAGACTAGACTTGCCAGCGAACTTGTCGCCAACTACAACAAGCTACGCGGGATGGTGTCAGCTGTATACAAGACTTAGGTAATATTAAACTAAGACGAACTTACCTGGGTTAGCGGCACCGTGGGTGAGATATTCAGACGTCGCAACTCGTCGATTTTCTGGAGGAGAGCTGGGTCGCCTAAGCCTCCTGCTTGAATCCCTTCAGACTCGGACATTGTCAACTGTGACAAGCGATATGAAATAGTAATATGTTAACAGATGAGGTAAAAGAAAAAGGGAAAAAAAGAATTACCAAGGAGCAGAAACTCATCATAATATCTTCCCATTTCAACCTTATGCTCTCCTCAACCACTTCCCTGCTCCGTTTGTATTCAGCCACACCGGAAGCTTCATCGCTTACATGCATATGTATTCTCGGATTCCTGCGTAAGCCGTTCACAAATCGGCTGGTATTATTCCTGCTCTTGCTAGTTTCCTATGATCAATTTTGAAATCGCGGCTCAATGCAGATATGCCTATCGATCCCGTCAAGTTATACGTGGTGGCGCCGGATGTATCGAGCAGATGATCTTACACCATTCACAGTATGGATATCTTGAAGTAGAAACGGTATTATTTTTAAAATATGATATGTAAGGGTTTTCCGCGTTATATGGCCTTTTGAGTTTGTATATGTTACGTATCATGTAGGATCGGTCGTATGCATGTAGGTGCCAAAGATATAAGTGTGTAAAAGATCATCCTATACATCTTATAGACTCTAAGCTATGTAGTCAGGTACGATGTATCCGTGTTTCGATTTCCCGAGGGTACACACACCTTATTAGGTTCCTTGTTGATAAGATTTGTGAAACATTCACATTAGCAGCATGTGCTTACCTTCTACAGATGTAATATGTAGAATACCTTGGGCAACTACGGCCTAAGACAATTTTATACTTTTTACCTTTTGACGGAGTTGCCTCTTGCCTAACGCTGTTATCCCGCTCTAGGTACATATATTCAACTCTATTATTCTAGTAGGTGTTGTTCAACCCATAGGTAGTACTTACCTTAGGTACCTGTTACGTGTACAAGTCCTAGGCAACCCAGGCAACCGCTCTTTAGTCTACTGATTTCAAGTCTTTTATTTTTCAAAATCTATTTCCCCTCTTCAACCTCCATCTTGTCCTGAATTCTTTCAACCTTTTCTTCACATATCAAATCATTCTAACTATAAAACTAAACTCTACAAATCAAATATCAGCCAACATCCCAGATTATTCTCTTCTACAATGTCTAAAATCAAACTGCACCTCAGTGCAATTATCATCCTATCCTCAATTTAAACATCATAACTCTAACTTCCCTACTATCCTTCTATGGCCTCTCACTTCTAACTTACTACCAGCAATACCAACAGGTGCGTAGGCAAATCCCTTTCTATACCCAGTGACATCATATTTTCTTTCCCGGTCGCCTTCCTTTTGCTTAATTGGCCACTAGAATGAGACTTGCGCTGCATTCATCAGCGCGCGCACATCGTCGCATTATTTACCTGCCTTTTATTTACACAAGTTTCTTTATTTTGAATTACAATACACCTTCTCCCACTGACAATTCCACTTTCAGCGTCAAGGCACAAGGTTCTTATCATAGTGCCATATAACCAGGCTCTGAATGACTACGAGCTCAGGTTCAGATACTCCTTAGAGGGGCATGGTGCTCCAGCCAACTTGTCCCCTCGGGTAGAGGAGGACAGACCATAACATCCAAGACAGCCAAAATCCAGACACGGAGAACAGCCGCGATCCCGGCCGGGTCTTTTCTCCCTCACATCGCGACGCATCAGACGAAGAGAAGAAGCCAGAGAACGCATAAAGGAATTCGATACTGAGATCCAAATACTTGAACTGATGATATTACTGCTTATCACAACTGTTGGTAATACTACAGATAACAACACGGCCACCGAAGATGACAATAACTGAAGTTGGCTGACACTAAGATCCCCAACAAACAACGAATCCATAAACAGTTGATGAAGACACCTTACTGTCACAGACCTAGCCTTAGTTAAGCTGATCTCACTACACTGTAAATAGTCTGCGTAACTTACTTTCAAGACTTATTGTTACACACTTGGATCTTCAGACTTGACGACTGAGAGTCTTTTAACATGATAATAATTTAAATTCGTAATCCGTTTTTTGTTGTGCTCGGCTGGAGATTAGGTAACCCATAGGAGAGGCGTGATGGTGTCAATTTTTAAGGTGAATGAAGCAAATGAGTCTAAAGGAGTTTAAAATATATGTTGCTGTAACAATCGAGAATGTCACGTACGACCATAAGATCTGGAAAATTCGGGATCCCGTCCGCTCTCCCTGTAGACAAGCCAGATACTGCCGGATTAGTAGTTGGGTCGGTGACGACCAGCGAATCCCCGGTGTTGTACGTTTTGTATTTTTGCATTTTGCATTTTGCCTTCTTGCCCTCGTTTTTCTCAATCTTGAAGGGGGTGTCTACTATTATGGCGAGGGTGGAGGAGATCGTGATACAAGCGGAGTACTAATAGGGGTATACCTAGACTATTAGGCAAGACTTACACAAGCCCCATGAGTAATACCTCTTCCCCGTTCAAAGTTATCCTCAAGCGGGTTTTAGGGAAAACATGTTTGACAACGGCATCGCCGTAGTAGTGGTAGATAAATAGTGTTGGGTTAGCTTATAGAGCTACTAAACGATCGAATGACATGTGCACATGTTTAAAAAAAATTCCAACATAAAATGAGAGTTGGTCCCTTCAAGGGTACCTAAAAACAAGACTTCCATATAGATCCAACTTCATAGCTCGAATGGAATATTCCACTCCCGTCAGTTTCATCCGGCACGTCGCAACGAGATATGTTTGATCATATCGTGGTTTGTCTACTAGCTCTATTAGACGGAGTTTATGGTAGGTAGGTAGGTAAGTGAGTGTGAAGGATCGCGTACTTATCTAGACCTGGATTCCAACAGACTGGATCCTGAGGTTGGAAGCAACGCTGTCGAACTCGACAAGGATCGAGACGGAAATCCCCTTGCCCTGGTAGACGGCCTGGGCGGAGCTGATGGTGAGGGAGAAGGACTGTCCCTTCTGGAGTCCCTCTTCCTTGAACTTGACCAAGTTGGCGAGGTAGATGGCCACAGCATCGACGGTGGCCGACTGGGAAGAGAAGTCGACAGCCACAACCTTAAGGTTCGGGTTGTTGACCGGAGGGCTGGGGATGGTGAAGTGGATCCATCCGCTCAGCTCGTTCGGGCTCGTCGGCTTGACGAGAGCGGAGCCCTTGTCGGCGGTTATGGAGAATGTGGAGGTGCTGTCCTTGATGGCGCCGATGCCGTGGGTGGAGATCCAGGTAGTCATTTTGACGAGGTGTGTTGACGTGTGAGTCGAGAGTTCTTCCCGTGAGTTGTTAGCTGATTACATTCTGCTCAAGATTGCTGGAGTGTGATTGCTAAGTATTTGTTCTTACTTTCTGATAGTTAAACAGGATTATCCTGATCGAGGTTGTGACTGTAAATTGATAGTTGAGATGAGCTGTCTGCTTGAGATGGGCTATTATGTGGTCTTTGGTAGTCGTAGACCTCGATATATATACTTTTTTTTCCAGGACTATCACGTAGCAACCGGCCGCAATACTTTGTACATTCAGATCAACTCCACGAAGTAGTCGCCGACCTTATGTCGTATCTTCGGGATGCATCGTGAAGGTATTCTGCAGGCGGCATCTCCCACCTGCCCGCTCTTTTCAGCTTCTCTCTGTGAGCTTGGCAGCGATGCATATTGGTGTTGAAAATCACAACATTTCCTTCTACGATCGTCTCAACATCGCGGATCCCGAATGGATGAAGCTGCGCAGTACGACTATGCTGCTTTCCTTCGAGCCATTACATTATTGGCTATGATGCTAGACGCCTGTCTCAGACTTGGTACGTCTGGGGTTGGAATATCGCCGTCGGCGACGCTGTTCTCCGGCGTGATTCCCCGCCATGCAGAAGCGGCGGCGCGTCAGACAGAGATATCGCGATGTCTTCTTCCTTTGATAGGCTGGGTATCAACTGCTCGAGGCATGCTATAGAGGGGGTGTCAGGTTACCTTGGTCTGCAATATGTATTAATCTTCCAAAAAGGATAACGTACCTAAGGTAATCGATATATTCCAGCATAGCCTCCTTAGCTGCCGCTCGAGGTGTAGTGATTAACACCTGTTTAATTTCCTACTGATCTGTTATTGTTTCTGTTGATTGGAGGATTTGCGATGGCGTTAAAGTGAGACGCGTTAAAGAGTCGTCGAGGCTGTAGGTAGACTGATGCTATACGACACAATAATGCAGGGTGCTACGCAGCGAACTTACCTAATTGATTCTTATGTTTGGATTCAGTATAGCTTGGTGTCATAATTAACAGTCATGATTGGCTCTTAGTATCTCCATCATTGTGACTGATGCTCGCCAACGTCCCAAAGGGTATTTTCAGCTTGGATGGCCTGCAGAGTAAGGGGCGGGGTACTAGCCTCATGACATGGGTGTCTCGGTTTCTCCTGAGCCACTTATAAGCTGAAATATAGATCTGCATGCCGAGTATCGAGTGCTATTGTATACAGATGATGAATCGAGTAAATCGTATGATACTTCTATGGTTGTAGGCGTAGGACTTGTGATTATTAGCTTTGCAAGGTGGTATAACCCGGGATTGATCCGATACGTTAGGTAAAGAAACATCTTCTGTACGTATGCGAGCTGTCTCAGGTAGATATGATCACAGCTATTCGCGTAATAAGAAGTTTGCTTTCCTACTGCATGGTTATAGTCACGACTCGCTTTAAAACCATTAGACATACTTGGTAGTTGAAGGGAACTCAAACCACAGGGTCCGGTATATTTGAATGAGTTATAAGAAGTTACAAGTGTCATAATTATCGTGATGTTTACCATGGCCATAATAGTATATCCCGTCACGGTAAGCAGATAGTGGCTATTACTAGTATATGTCTCCCATCTCCTGGGCGATTGCATCAGCAAGCTCCTCAATGTTGCATGCAGATTATCATCAACATATTGCCCGGCTTGCGTCAAGTGGCGTCTTCTAGGCCGGCTGAGCTCTAATCTATTAGGAAGTTTGGAATATATTGTTACGTATGTTCTCAGCTACCATGTAGGCCAGAAACTAGTGACGACTGAAAAGGGGTCGGCACATAATTGCAGCCTTCAGCCAGAACCTAACCATTACACTAGATCATGACACTAGGTATAGGTAAAACAGAAGGAACAGTTGGAGAAGTTAATAATTATATTCTCCTACATTTGGAATCAGTCACATAGCTTCCAATAACATCAAATATTCCGAACGAAATACTAACATGAACGTGTTAGCCTCCCAAAATTGAACTCCGCAACTCAACCATTCTTGAGAGTTGGTATTGTGTCTTAAAAAAGCTAGCATCGAGGTAAAAGGTCCCTGTTATAAAGGACTATTGCTAGCACTACTCGTTATCCTTGAGTTAGGTACGTAAAGGTGCCGAATTTCAAGTCTTACCTAGCGTTGTATTCAGCCCCCATAACCAGTTTCGCCTTTCTTACCCTTGGACACTATATGGGTGGGATAAATGTGTAGCATAGAATGACCACTATCAACTTTCCATCCTTCATGTTCGATTCTTACTATTTAAACATTAGGCTCCATGCTAACAAAATCTCAAGCCTTTTTCTTTAGTCTTATATAACTTGATATCATATATTGTCGCTTTCTTCAACACATAAGCGAATAAATTGATAGTTCGTGCCAGTCCCGAAGGAAGAGTTGGTGAGCACTAGCCACTTGAATTGGTTCACAGATCAACATCAACAAGCTGACCTACTCTACATTCTTAGAAACTAGCAAAATGCGAGTGTGGGTATCGTCTCACGGCTCTGGAGCCATCAACACTCTAGACAACTCCTTCAGCATCACAGCCAACGAAGGAGGGTCAGTGATACGACCGACGAAACCCGGTGAGCTCAAAGGAACTGTTCTCTTTCCTCTCCACGGCCTACCTAGTACTATTTCCTATTACAACCGGGTGGCGGTTGACTTCTCGTCTCAAACCGCACGTGTTGATGAGGTAGTAATTATGTCCGGTAGCGACGAGGTCTTCCAGAAGAAGAGGCTGCGCAAAACTGGAGACTTCACAATTCCGTTGCACGGTCACCATGTCAAAGCGGAAGAAGAGGGGAAAGGTTTGGCCTTATGGCTCAAGGTAGAGTTTGAGAATGTGACTGCGGAGCTTGAGTTCCGGTCAGTTGGACTCGAGGTTGTTGTGACTTCTCCGCCGCCAACTGAAAAGATTAAACTCGACAGCGGGACTTGGAATACAGGCCATGTTAGGCCATGGGATCATCCTAGAGAGAAGACCGAAGGCTTGGTTAAATTCACAAAGGAGTTTAGCTCAATTCCGACGGTGTTGGTTAGCATGAATACCGCAAGTGTTAAAGGAGGGTCAAATTTTAGAGTCAAGGTTTACGCGACAGAGATTAGCTCTCATGGGTTCACCGTCCATGCAGATAGCTGGGCAGATACGGTGTTATATTCGTGCGGCGTGACATGGTTAGCGATAGGATCTTGACATGTAAGCGAGGATACCTCGGGACAGCTAAGGACACTGGGAGAAGTAGGGACTGGAAGTGGAACCGTTGGGCTTGGGACAAGTAATTTATAGACCTACATAATAGAATACAATTATCATAACAGGTAGTAACGGAGCTCAGGTCGTCTCCCTAGCTACATTATCCCTTCCCCTCCCTCCCCCTCCCTCCCCCTCCCTCCCCCTCCCTCCCCCTCCGGCCATTCTGAAAGGCGAAAATCCTACCATAGAAAAGAAACTACCGAAAAGGAAGATACAACTCTAGATACCCTCAACCTGCTTCAGCAGATTATCAACGGAATCTCCATTGATATTGCCATTATTGATCATCAGCTTCAGCTGCCCTTTCAAGGTTTGATACTTGACCGCTGACTGCATCATATCCATGTATCTTTCGATGCAACTAGCCGACATTCCGTGCGGCACCATCGTTGGACCCTGCGAATTGCCCCCCTCTCTCACAGAAACGCGTGATATGTACGAAACAGGATCCGTTTCTCGACTGTTTATCGTGAGGTGAGCTTCCCAATGCGGAGTAATCTTTTCGAAACAGATGCGCTCTCCTTTGGACGATTCCGAATCCCAGTCCATTGCCCAGTCTATCGGCCATTTAAAATCATCAGTCAGACTTAGGCTAACATAAGGTCTCTCGTGGCCTCTAGGGGGGTGTGTGGGGAATATTTCCACCATAGATGTGGAAGAGCCCCAATGCCAGGTACCTCGATAGGCAAGAAGATCCCGATATGAACCCGAAGAGTGTTCCTTTGGCTTTAGAGACGGAACGAGCTTGTAGATGTTAGATTTAGCTTCATCATCGCATAAGGCCATGGCCTGGAGAATTGCTAGGTACAGACGCGGGATACGATAGGCTTCCATACTCTGCATTTTAAGCTTGGCTTGCTGATTTAGGAATTTGAAGACAGGGCTAAGGGTACAGCCTTTCTTCCTGTCGGCCAGAAGTATCATTGCGGCAGCGTCCCTTGCTATTTCTGGGAGATTAGGGTCAAGGGCGCTCCAGACACGCTTAACCCATGTCATATGGGCAACAGGATAGTGCCAACTGTAGGTGGTGGACTCGGTTCCCAATATGATATCGTTTATTGGAGTTAGTTCTTCCGGTGTATCTTCGCCCTCATAGTCGGATTCGTCCTCATCGATATCAATGTCAAGCTCACCATTGATGGGAGACTCGTCGACAATGCGAAACTCACCGATATAAGCGTCAGGCTCACATTCATCGGCGCGACACATATCGATATCAGTGTCGGATTCGTGACATTCAAGGTTAGACTCATGAAGGCCTTGACCTGGATTATTGCCGTCCATGGTGGAGCCGCCCAATTGGGATTCATGTTGATCAAGATTGGAGGGATGGCTCTCTAGAATTGACTCTTGACTATGAGGGCTTTCGTCTCGCCACTGATGCGTGCTAAAAAAGCGTTCCAGACCATCGTAACTGCAATTGGCTGCCATGTATTCCATGAATTCGGATAATTCATCTGAGGAGCAGTTTCCCAGCCTCTCATGTAAGTCCAAGCGACGAAAGTGCTCCTCAAGGCTTTGCAAATGGCCGTCATCAACCCACTTGTGAATCAAGAATCCAATGCGCATAGTGCGAAAAGCTTCGGGTTGGGATGTCATCTTGGTATGATGTCATCTATTCTAATAAAAATATAAATAGTCAGTATCCAGATCTAGCTAGCTATGTGAATCTCTCAAGAGAGACGAAAGGGGTATAGTGAGAGAGAAGGATACTTAATGAATATACATACCTGAAAGGGTGACAAAGGTAACGACGAAGATGTAGTCAAGAATACACAAAACTTAATACCCAATGATACTCAGTGAAGCTATTGCCCACAGTGTACCTCAACCAAAAAGATGACTTGAGGTTTTAGGTAAAGCTTCTGTTAGGAAAGGATGTTTGGATTGGGTATGTGTTTTATGTCGAATGGATTCGCAGCCCACAAGGTTTGAAGTTGGGATGGCGATGGGAAAGAATAATATGTGATGTGAATTGTGAAAGAAATTATTCAGGTCTGAAAGAATCCAGTCTGAATAAATATTGGAGTTTGTGATCTAACCTTGGAAGCTTCGCTGCAGGTAAAGGTCCGGCGTAGCTGCCGTCTTTTTACGCGGCAATGGCGGCGAATTCGCTCTTGCTCTGTTAGACTTTTCATATCCATAGCAACGCACTCAAGTTGAGAAGGAATCATCAATCCGGTACTTTCCTTGCTTAACAGCTAGAAATACATAGTAACAAGGTTCGGGAAAGAGCGGCCTCGTTTGACCCTTTGGTACCTCTAGAGTGAACGGGCAGTCTGAGATTATAGTCCATCGGAAGGTCCTAAGGGACATGGCAAGTCGTGAGAATACCGCCAATGGTGTAAGTACCTAATACACTGATTAACTACCTATTTAATACCTGATAAAGAGAGATATACATACATATGTACTACCTATCATTATCTCAAAGGCACATATCCGTGCCGGTAGCCATTGCTGTTGCTGTTGCTGTTGCTGTTGCTGTTGCCGTTGCCGTTGCCATGTACATTACGATGATGTACGTACCCAACATACCTACATAAAAGGTAAGTGCTACCTAAAGGTAAGTACCACAACTCACCACAGAACTCACCTAGTGCATGTAGAGAGTTCATTAGACACGGCAGGCACATACTTGAGTAGAAGGTAGGTACATGTATGTATGTGTTTGTGAGTGGGACTTGTGATAACTTACATAGATGACCTTGTTGTTATCCATATTGTATGGGCTTGGTCCTGTCTCTCTCTTTCATCTCCCAATCCTTAGGATTGTACGTTATCATCATCCTTACTCTTCTTTGACCACCATTACAACATTACTCGACGCTGTAAATGGCGGGAAGCGAACTTCCCAAATCGCTCTTAACAACGGGGTGTGAGGTGTGCATACCAAATCCAACTAACGCTGGTCAGTCTTTTCTTGAGCGTCTCCCTAACGAATTGCACCGTATGATATTCGAAGAGTGCGGCCTTTCTTCTAGAAATACGCTTGTCCAAACGTGTCGTAAGCTGCGCTTTGCAGGCTTGAACTGCCGCCTTAAACGCCTTGAACGTGTAAAGCTAAAGGACACACTGGAGTTCCTAGAGGCTGATTTACTCATGCTAGCCAGCCATCCAGACGCTGAGATCATCCGTACCCATACCACGTAAGTATCATACCTACCTATATATTTAGTTTGAATTCTTGTTGTAGACTTCTAACACTTGGAAGCTGTCTGAGCATCGCTATTACCACCATTCAGCGCCGATCAGGGGTACCCACCCTCAATACCATCAACCCCGAGGAGGCTGGTCGTCAACTTAATCCGCTGCCGGCTCTCATCAGCAAAATGGAGAAACTCCAATGCCTAAAGATCGATGTAGAGCGCCTCGAGATAGACAAGTCCCTTTGCGATGACTTCCAGGATGCCATGTGCTCTAGCTTCGAGGCCCTGGGCAACAGCGTGCTCTCCAGTAGCTTACAGAGGCTAATAATACTGGGCGGGTTCACCACTCCAAAGGTATTCTACATCTTACGTGTATTCTCGCATCTACGATACGTAGTATTGAACTACTTGTGCTTCCAAGAGGCGCAGCCTCTTATTACCGGAGAAATGCATTTTAAAACAGTTAAGGGTCTTCAGATCGAGTTAAGTCTTGATCAAATAGGAGCATTGGAACATTATCGCCGTAAGACGTTTTTGATACTATCTTTTCGGGTCCTTGGATCCAAAGCTAATGTGAGCATAGGTGCAGCGCAATGGTTCCCCAACGTGGAATATCTCGAAATTGGCTGGAGTCGCTGGTCAGAGGACAGTGTATGTTTTCCAACCACTCATCCGATACTTTCTCATCCGGCTGACACCTCTTTTTTAAGCAAAAAATGGAGATCCACCGTACCAAGTTCGTAAGAAGTATAATAAAACTAAAAGAAACACTAATGCTAAATATTGGGGCACGGGTGTATGTAGCAAAGCTTCGCTCCCAGGGGCTGTGGAGGAAATTACCTTAGACGTAGCACCTTTGCCTAGGAGATTAATAATCGCGGCGCTTTTTCGACGAGCACCATGAGCGATGCATAGCAGACCAAGACTAGAGAACACAGCATATAGTACGGCTCATGACCAAGATAGATATTCTAAGCAAACTTAATGTAGCTTCACAACGTTCGAGGCTAGATTCAAGGATCTTCGTGAAACAAATAGAATCCATATCTTCCTCTTGTTTCCAACTCCGATGGCTAGCTCTCGACTCCAATATATTTTCAATCTACCTACCAGAGGTCTGTAAGAACCAATTGGCCGGGCAACGCGGGCCGCACCACGGGTTGGTGTAATATTGTGGGCATTACTATAAGTGCCAGCTATAGCCTCATACGGTATACAATTATGTAATGAAAGAAAAAATATACGTACTCCAAGAGCCCCTTATAAACCCACAACTAATTGAATAATTGTGGTTACTCGCTGAATTATGGGACAGACCTAAGGCAGTTCCCGAATTCTTGAAAAACATACGCAAATATAAATTGAATGGTAGTTTGGTTCCCATGAGGTAGGTATAGACTCGGGTAATTGGTGCACAGCACAAGACGACCGCATATAGAGAATTTCGGAATTACATAGCTCATAGTTCACACATACCGTATAGTCCCATTATCCGAACCCCATCTAACTAGTTTTTCTCTGCTTCGATGGCCGCTCACTTATATCATGATCACCCGCGCTGGTGGTGCCACGTTTTCCCGGGTTAGAAACCTGAGAAATATTAGAACTGTGTTTAATGAGGATGAGAGTAACAACTTACTTTGCACAGGTCCTCCGTGAGGTGGCACTCTTGGATCAGCTTATCGACTTGATCATCTGTGATTGGGTTATCACCGAACACATCTTGCCACTTCTTTAGGACAGGACCTAAAAGGGGATTTGGGTGTCGATATCTTCCGGATCTATTTAGTGGTAGAGTACCAACATACGCGCGCAATGCCTCGAATTCTAAGCGATAGACATTTTCCAGCTCCACGACCTTTTCACGTAATCCATTGGCAGCTACGGTCCCGGTAGCAAGATTGATCGCATGCTTGAAGAACGAGAAGGGGAGTGCCATTTCATTTGTACTGCCGAAAGACTCGCGGATAATCGTAGAAATGGCTAGGCGAGCCTTGAAACAGTGGCGTGAATCAATACACTCGATGATTTGACGCACGATATCCCTGTCACCAGGCATAATAATGCTATGTGGCAAAGATGCGAATTCCTTAGGATGGATACTATCCTCCGGGGGTGTCGTATTCGTGTTCTCAGCTTGCTGCACGTAGCCTTTAACATCCACCCCTAAGGTACCTGCGGGGGGTCGGTTCGTAGGCGGGCTGGTGGAGGCGAGTCTATATTGCTCTATCCTCGAAGCCACCGTCTCCTCCAAGAATTTATCCGAATCCTTTTGTGTCATGTTGGCAACCCTGAGAACATGTTCAAACGCGGGGAAACGGCTATCCGGAACGGGTTCGAGGACGAAAAATGCTCTACGTCCATTGATCTCCACCGACGCATTGTTGAGGAAATGGTCTTGAGCTTGGATATATTCCGGTGTCATATTATACGCCATTTCTCGGAACGTAATAAATTTGCCGTCGAATTTGGCTTTGTCAACATCGAGCATTGCTTTAAAGATGGGGCTTTCGCGAATGATCTTGTCGCTATTCTTCTCGACTTTGTCGTACCATTCGGCAATTATCATTTCATCGGACATGGTCGTCATCTTTTTATATTCTAGCGCAGGTGATTGTATTTGGCACGGGCAAGAGGTGGTAGGTGTATGGGGACAGGTAAGGGTAGAAGAGTTGACGTTAGAATAGCGTAAAGAAGGGGCTTTCGGATTGGAAAGTACTAAGTAAGCTTTTATAGCCGCTGGGGATAAGAAAGAGGAGGATTTATCCTCGAAGATATTTACCAGTGTTCAATGTGAGGCGAGGGTTCACGCTGTGGTTACTCGAGCCTAAAATTTAATTGCGGAAGGTTGCCAAGGGGTTTTCGCGGTAGGGTACTTGTTGATAGGTATTCGAATTTCGAACCGGAACCTAGCTTAGAGGAAATTATTTATCCTCACGCAAAGTAGGCGCTGTTCTAAATCCTGTGATATGTTTTTTTGTGTACTGGATAGCCGATAGGCAGGCACCTTTGAGGTTAACGGAGAAATGCTAAATTGTACCTAACGTTGTACTTTCCTTAATACCTTCGTATTTCAGGAAGCCACCATTTACAGGTATATATTTACGGCCTACCACCGGCGGGTAAGTCTTCGTCCGCTGCTGCTTCGTGAGAATGGGACTGTATGACGCCGCTCTAGAAAGTTGTATTCTATATAGCCTATGATTTGTTATTGTCTATGCCATATGGCTCGTCGTCTAAGAGCTTATAGATCTCCTATGCTATTTTACCCGGCCCCTCCCCCCGGACCCGAGCTCCGTAGATGGGGCCGATAATTATGTCAACGGAAGCGGGTACTGTGCTAATCGGCGCACGTGCAGGTAGGAACATCATGTGACACCGGGATTCATAACGAGGCACGTGAACAAGTGATGATCATGTGATTTTTACGACGACAGCAGACCAATCGTTGATTGTGATACAGGTATTGATACACCACATAGGCATGTCTTAACTTATGAAAGCAAGAACGCAGGAAGAGCACCACTCTAGTAACTTAACCCCTGATACCTGAACTCTCCAGCTAGCAAACTTTCCCCAGCCCCACTCAAGTAACGGACAGATATCTTCGTTCGTCTCACTCCGCAAGCTATGCTCGAAGTTAGCATATGGCTAGAAAGCCATATCGTAGCTGTAGATGCAGATTTTCTCGCCCTATTCGTACACCCTGGTAGCAGATGTCCAGCTCTCTTCCTATATCTTACAGCACAATCTACCTGTACCCGAAACCTATATTCTAGGTAAATATATGAAGACAGTGACGTAAATCATTAATACATGCTATGCTTACCCGGCTTACCTAAGCAGCATATCGAAGGTTTTAAACTACTATCTCCAGATCAGATCTTTGTATGTCATAATTCATCTTAGCTAATATGACAAGCTAGGCAAGACCCCGTCACGATTGCCGTTTCCTTCTTAACGCCATTGCCTAACTAAATCATTTGCATAAGTTACAATTTTACATCCTTCCCCATAAATTCAATCTAGGATCAGCACCTTCCTTCTTATTCTATTCCAGCAAGATTGCCATTCGAATAACACCTACAAAACCCGCTCCCGTTTACGAAATTTCCAAACCACCGCATCTTCCACGAACAACCATCACTTTAGGTATTCATTCTTCCAGCATTCTCACATCTTTCTAAACTCAACATCATTTCAATAGCACACTAGTACACACCCTTGACAAGCTCTCCTAGGGAATTCTATCTCTGCCTATAGCCCCAGAGGTTTAGCATTATACACGAGATCTTAGAGGTAAGTTGCCTGCTGCCGTATTCGTACCTTGTGGGTAAGCTTCTAACCTTCCTGCCCAAGCCCCAAAACAACCATTGGTCAGGAAGTAAACAACTACAACCCGGCCTACACTATAAATCTATCATCGTCAGCTCCATAACACAATCATAGTCATCTCATACTTCTATCTCAACCACGCCAGTATATCTACCTAGGTAATCCTAACTACTGCCACGTTGCCTTTCACTTTTTACGATACTCGATCATCATGACTTCTTTCCCCGTCCCCAGCTACTCCAAGCTTCAGTTAGTAGAGGTACGCGGAGCGCCGAATCCGGAGAGCTTCCGTAAATCTGCTCTTGAGCGCCTGCCCGTCTGCCTGCGCCGTATGATATTCGAGGCCTGTGACCCCACTTCTAGACAAGCTCTTGCCCAAACTTGCCAAGAGCTCCGCAATGCGGGTTGGGACTTCCGACTCCAGAACGTGAAGGTAACTGGCACGCCACCTTCCTTGGGCATGGACTTGGCGATCCTCAGAGATCATATGCAAACCGGGATTATTCGCACCCATACTACGTGAGTATTATTTCCATTCCTATCTTAATATACAGCTTCTAACCGCGAACTCAACAGCTCTATACACATTGCCATTGCCACGTTCTCGAGCCCAGGCACGGGTCGCAAGGTCCTTTGTGACTACAGTGATAGAATTCCCGATTTAATCAGTTGCATGCTATCTCTTATCAGCAAAATGCAGAGATTAAATGACCTTAAAATTACTATCAAAAGTACCAACCGGTTGACCGCTTGCTACGAGAAAACCATACACAAAGAACTTAAGAAACGGCCTAATCATCCGGTTTCTTACAATCCGCTTACAATCCGACTGATAGGGTTCGCCTCTACTAGGGCGGTCCATTTCACGCGCATGTTCCCTAGACTGCAGCATCTAGAGGTCGGAAGCAACTGCTTTAGGTCGGCTCCCGACCCTAGTATAACGGCAAATCTCCCGCCACTGAAAAGCCTAAGAATTCGCATACAGCAACCCGACATCGGTGGAGTGGGGACCTTACGCAGTAAGTTATCCTAACATAATTGTTGTAAATTTCTAAGCCCGTAGCTAATACTACCTACAGGTATTAACAGCACGTTTCCATTACTCGAGAATCTTGCTATTGAAGGGATGTCTACTATCACCTGGAAGCGAAAGGTATGTCCGTGCCGGCTCCTATATGCCATATTCCGAGTTAACAAGTTATTCACAGAAGGTCGCTGCCCAACTTGGGCATTTCATTCACTTGCGCAAGCTCGAAATCGTCATGGACTGGTACTACGATCCCGATGACGAGGAAATCTGGGATCTAGATATAAATCTATACCATCTTTGCGCCGAGGCCTGTCGTTCTCTTGAATGGATATTTGTCCACTTCGATGACGATGAGATATACCCGTTGGAGGTGGAACGAGATCTGAAGGGTAAAGTTGAGGGCCTAAATCTAACCTTAGGTACTGAGACCGCTGCACGGTTCCGAAATTCATGGTCCAATTACTCGTCCATTATTGGGGGACCTAGAGGTGGTAGGTAGTATGGGCTCTCGAGAGAATATGAGATTGATCATCACGCGTTATGTTTTTGTGTTTGTGTTCTAGTTAGTAGAAGCACCTAGGTAGAGAGATGGTATGGGCAATTTCCCATCGGCCCCCTTCCGCGGTGTCGTCGGCTTCTATAATGACTGACACACGGTTTCGCAAGATTGAACCTTTTTGATGTATTACAGATAGCGAGAGGCTCATGCGATCTCTTCCTAAATTGATTATCGTTCTGCCTTCCCAAGTCTTGATTCACGATAGGTACCGCCCGGGGGATCAAGTACAGATTTAATAGTGTAGATACGGTGCATAGCCACGCCTTCGTAAGTCCCATACTCTTTACGTGGTTCGTCGTCACGTAACGAACCTATTCATATCGTGAACCTGATTGGCCAAGATTGCTCCCCGCTTCCCTAAAGCGGCAATAGTTTACTTTGACGGCTGACCTTAGCCTTGGGGCTACATACTCCTCCGAATTAATTGCCTTAGTCTATGCTATTAGTAACAATTAACTTCACCAGTAATGCCGGTCCAAGCTATTGTGAACCATAACTGTTCCCACTATAAGACCCTAGAGTTTAGCCAAGGCAAACCTACGCGGCGAGCCTCCCCACCCCGTCCGCACCCGTGAGCCCGCCTGATATAATTTCAGAGCTGATACCGGGATGGCCTGAATATATGAATATCGCTCCAGGGGGGTTTTCAACTCCTAGCCATAGTTTTGAATCCCTTGCCACCGTGGTTGGCTTTAGATTAAGGTATTTGGCAGCAAGTCCGTGTTACACGGACAGTAATGCCAAAAGATTATTGGTTAAAGAAAATAATTAACAAAAAATACAAAATAATTATTTTAAGATTTATTAAATAAAAAATATTATAAAACTATATAATTATATATAAATAAAGTTAATATATTAATAAAAATTTAATTAAATTAAAAAATACGTATTTTAAATTATTTATAAATAAATCGAGATTTTTTTTTGGAAAAAAAAAAGAAAATTAAAGATTTTAAAACCTTAAAAAATTATTAGTAATTTTAATTATATTTCAAACTTTTTATAACTTTTATTATAAATAATTTTTTATTATTTTAAAAAAACTTAACATTTTAAAATAACACATACACTTTAAATTATTATTTATTTTATCTTATATTAAAACTTTAAATTAAAACTTAATAAAACTTAAAAAAAACCTTTTATTACCTTTTTTTATTAATCCTTTTCCCATTTTAACTACTTTTTTTTTACCATTATTATTTATTAAAAAAAAACTAAATTAAAATATTTTTTTATATTAAACTTTACACTTTTAAAAATTACTTCCCTTTTTATTTAATTAAAAAAGAAATTTACAAAAAAACTTAAAAACTTTACATTTTATAAATATATAATTAAATTAACTTTTAATTAACACTTTTTTAAAAAATACCTTTAAAATAAATATTAAAAACGCTTTTTAATTTAATTTAATATTTTAAAACTACCTTTAATTTAAACCAATAATATAAATTTAATATATTTTAATAACAATTATACTTTCGTTTTATATAAACCATAAAATTATAAAATAATTATATAAAATATATTTAAAATTAACATTATTAATTTTATTATTACCAATTTATTTAATTAATTAATTTAATTATATAAACAAATAAAAAAAACTTATAAATTTTTTTAATCTTTTATATATTTAATAAATAAAAATTATAAAAATAATTAAAATTAACTTAATTAATAATATTAAACTTTATAAATAATATATAATATTATAATATAAATATATTAAATTAATATAATAACTTCAATTAAATAAATTATTTAATTTAAATAATAAATTAAATAATTTAATTTAATATTTTCTTAAAAAGTTTAAAAAATAATCGCACGTTTTTTTAATAATGATAAAATATAACAAATAATAATTATAAAATTAAAAAATGCCGTTTAAAAGTAACACAAAGTTTTTTTAAACCTTTAAATTTAATAAAAATCTTAAAAAAATTTATTAAAAAAAGTAATAATTTAAGTTATATAAAAGAAAAATTAAATTAATAATTTTTTAATTTAAAAATATATTAATTTAATATATATAAATAAATATTTTCGGGAATAATTAAAAGAACTTTAAATTTATATAAAAGTTATATTAATTAAATTTACTTTAAAATTAACAATTAATTAATTTATTTTTATAAATTTAATTTTATAAAATATTAAAAAAAAGGTAATATTAAAACCTTTTTTTAATTAATTTTTTTAAAATTATTAATTAATAATAATAAAAATATTTTCATTTAAATATTTTAACTTAAAAATTAAAATTAAAAATATTTTATTAATATAAACGTTATAAAATGTTTAAGTTAAATAAATTTTAAAAAATATTTATATTTAATTTAAAAAAGTATATACCAAACCTTTTATTATGTTAAAAAAAAATGGATAAAAATTAAAATTATTTTATATATCGGCAAAAATTTTAAGAAAAAACTTAAAAAATTTTAATAATGATAATAATAATTAAAGATTATAAAGTTTATTTTAAAGATTATTTTACAAACTTTCATTTTTAAGACTTAATAAGTTTAAATAAGATTTAAAATTTTAATATATAAATAATACCGAAAAACGATTATTACAAACGTTAAAAAAGTTTATTAAACCCGTTTTTACAATTATTAATTTAATATATTTAAATAAATTACTTATATATAATAATAAAAACTTTATTAAGTTTTAAACTTAATAAATAAAGGTTAAATTATATTTAAAAATTTATGTAAAAAGTTTTTCCAAAAATTACGTTTATATTAATTAAATAAAATTATTGTTTATAAATAAAATTTAATTATAATATTAATAATGTTTTAATTAAATTAAACGGTTTTATTTTATGGATTAATAAATTAATTATATATTAACTTTATAAAAACGATTTAAAAACCTTTTAAAAAAATATAAAAATTTAAAAAAAATATATAAATTTAAATAT